CTATTCGAAACCAACAAAACTGCTATTAGATAGCTCACTTAGAAGAAAAAATATTAGAAACAAAATAAGAGTGTAGTTCAAGTAGATAATACAAATAGTATAGTTTTTAGTTATAAGAGAAGAATAGAAAACTAGTTCTTATCTACTCGCACAGAGCTAGTAGCTTATCTAATAGCAGTTTTGTTGGTTTCGAATAGATGCAAAGTTGAAATAAGAACAGATAGCACAGGTACAATCATTGCAATCAAAAATAGTCTTAAGAATAAGAAGACATATGAGTGGTTAAAATATAAGAACAACAATATTTTGCGTGCAATTAAGAAGGTCTGCAAAAGTAAATCAGTTCAGCTAATACTAACTAAAGTTAAAAGTCACTTAGGTGATACATATAATGACCTTGCGAATATACTTGCAAAGGAAAGAATATATGAAGCAAACTGTATAGAATTAAATAATATTAGTAACAATAGTATAAAGTATATTTTTGAATGGAAAGAGCTAAGTCTAGAAACTCTATTAAGAGCTTTTGTTAAAAAAGTAGTTCAAACAATATACAAGGCAGAATAAACTTAGCTAAGAAAGAAAAATGATATAGAACACCAAACAAGAATACAAAAACAGAATTAGAAAGCTTTCAAGAGTATACTCAAAAGCTATTGCAAACAATACCAAAACTCTGAAATAAACCAATTAAGACTGTTCAAAATCAAATATATAGAAAATCTCCTTCTAATAGTAGAAATATTAAATTGTAAAAAGCTACAATTATATAAAGATAGTCTATGCAAAAGATGCTTAAAGAAAAAAGAAACAATCAGATATTTAGTTACCTATAAAAAAACATATCAGATACTAGAAAAAATTGAAGATAAAGCATAGCAACAGCTTTATGAAGATAAAAGAAAGAAAGAAGATTAGGATCTAAAGAGTATATACCAAGTGCTTTATTGTGAACAAAAGACAAAACAACAAATGAGAAAAGAATAGCTAAGAAAAATACTTTGTGAAGAAGATACTGAGAGAATTAAAAATATTATCAGTACAGAAAGTATGACAACTAAGTTCTGAAGCATATTTTGGTATATTTAGATAAAACTAGTATATAAAGAAGTTTGAAAAAATCAATACAAAGTTATAGAAGCTTAGAAGAAAAAAGAAAAGATCTTTAAAAAAAAAAATATGCAAAGAAACTGAGAAGAAAATCTTACTTGACAAAAAAAAGAAAGAATAGGTATTTATAAAAAGTAAAGAAGACAAAAAAATGAAATTAGTCATATTATCAGAAAAGAAAAGAAGTTTGTAGAAGTAGAGATCTAAGAAGAAGATCAAGAAAACTTATATAAAGAATATAGTTAACAAGAAGTATACAGAGAAGAAATCAAACTAAAGAAAAATAGCTAAAAACAAAGATTAGCATTAAAAGAAGTCTACAATATCTCAAGTTTCATACAGAAAAAAGATAATATACTAGAAGTAGTTTTCAATAGGAAGTACCTTAGAAAAATAGAGAAAGAGAATTAAAAAAGCAAGGTAGAGAAGTTTAAGAGGTTCAAGAATTTAGAGTAAGTTAAAGTAGAAAATAGCTGAGAAGCAGAGCTAATCAACTAGGTTATTTAAAACATAAGAATTAGAAAAGAACTAAAAGTAAGACTAGAAGTAACAAGAGTTTCTGGACTAGAAATAACAAGGGTTTCTGGAATAAAGTCTTTTTCGTCACCAAAAGAATCGGATTTATAATAAGCATGTTTTGGTGATTTAAACGGAGAGTCAGGGAAAGAAGGTTCACGACCATTGCTTTGATGTGTAGAGTTTTGTCTAGAATCAAAAAAAAATCAATAATTAAGAAAAAAATAATAATAAAAATAGCAATACTGTAATATTATAATTATTATAACAAAGTACTTACAAATTTCTTGTAGTTTTTGAAGATTGACTACGTTTATCATCATAATTCTCGCTTAAAATTGGAAAGATTTTATCCAATTTAATTTTCCTTGCCCATCTTTTATACGCGGATGAAGCATCGCGGCCGGTACCAAAAAATAAAAATACAAAAAAGCCGGTCAAAGGCTTCGCATAATCGAAAATTGATAAACCATTTGAAAAAACAGTAACAGTATTAAATTCACTATGTTTAACAGGTGTGAAATCTACTAGATTGTCGGCTTGCACAACGTTGCTGACAAATATCATGACAGACGCCGGAAATGAGAATATCAGATAGGTTATACAAAAAAGCACGAGACGATAGAATTTTGCAGCGTTAAGACCGGATTCATTGCGTCTCAAGAGAGTTTTAATTTCAAGTCGTTTTTTCATGATCGCATAAGATGTGCGTGCTTAAAAAATTATGAATTGTATATTGTCTTGTTATTGTGATGTTGAATATGAAAAAAAAATTTTTTTTAATAATCTACTAGGTACAGTACATACCTGCATAATAACAACCAATAATGGAAATAATAACAGGCCATATTCCATCTATCAAAAAAAACAACCCGTTTATGTATGCTGGTGAAAAACAACCCAAAACAGGTCTAATTTCATACATATTTGGCTGGATAGAATAATAGCATCCTGAAAGAAACGTAGGAACCAAAATTATGAGACAAAAATTTATAATTGCTTGTTTTCTTCTAATTTTCTCAGTAATAATCGTAGGACAAGCAACAACATTATAAAGAGTATGAATCATACAAGAAATAGAAGCTAATAATCCAAAATTTGCACCGACGTAAATCGGTGAAGAAATTAAACAATAAATAGGTGCTTTATCATCTAAATCATTAGCCCAAAGTATAGAATTTATAAAAAGTATTAGATTTGTTGCTATCACCCAAAATATCATGAGAATTGCTCCCCAGTTTCGTGTTTGTATATGAAATATTCCTGGAATGATACATAATATTATTGCCAAGAATGTAACGACTGTAAAAAGATAATCTGCCATCTTTTTTTTTTTAATATAATTGCATATACGTGTGTAGTGTAGAGAATATGTAGTAATGTATTTATGTAAGAATGTATGTAATGTATTATTTTTATACTAGATGGGAAAGAAAAAAAATCTTATATAGCATAGATGGGAATGAGGGTGATTATTAAAAAAAAGTATTCCAGATACTTATCAAGTTTTATGTGTATAATTTATATTTATATAATTTGTCTTCCCTCTGCTTAATAAGTGGTCTACTTAATAATTTTCTCCAAGAAAAAATAATTTGAGGGAGAAGATAATAAAGAATTAGCAGAAAGAAGTTGAAAAAGCCTTTAAATTATACACATCTAACTATGATAATTCGATCGACAAAGAAATTAGTAATTTGATATTACTATGAAATCATGTTAAGATAAAAATGACAAAGAAATATGAGACGTTTTATATATATATTTTTTATACAATCAAATATTCGTATTGATGAAACTTGGTAACTTGCAGATTTTATTAATCAAAAAAACAAAAACGGTAGTAAAATGGTAGCATTGTTAGGAACATAATGACTGTTTAACTACTCGCGCATGAAAAAAAAGTCGGATCGTATCATACATTAGCTTCTCGATTTGAATTTAGACAAAGAAGGTGGTTCCAAGAAAGGAAAACAAAAGCCCATGAATATTGTACAACGAATAAACTTGAAAGTGACGTTTAATTTTATTTCAAATTTATAATAATATTACTTAAGCCTTTGCAAATTTAAACAAGGACATTACTAAATTTGAATTACAGGGTTCAGAAATTGCCTTGTTTGTAAATGACAAGGACTTTACTGAATTCTTAGTTGATAAACATCGATCGTGTAACAAGTGCAATAATGAAAATTTCCTTTTTTAGAAAATTCAAAGACAATGTGCAAGCACGCACATGCGTACATATATGCATTATTTTTCATCTTGGAAATTTAATTGGCTCCACGATTATTAATCTTCATTAAGATTTCTAGATCTTTCAATTATTTATTAATTATTTATTTCATAAAACTATTTTTACAGTCAAATATTAAAATACGCTTGTAAGGAGTAGAATGTTGACTTTTACTTATAAGAGACTGCCATTCCATCAACATAATTCTAGCAAAAAAAGATGAAACATCGAAATTCTTGATTACGATGAATAAATCATGATCATGGCATGGCGCAGTACTCCTTGTTATTTTTGAGCACTCAAAAAATGTTGTGTTCAGATCCGGATAATTTGTTAATATAAGAAATTGTCTGTTGAAGAAATTCCCTAGGTTAACAATCATATATTCATATACTAATCGTATCAGTCAATTTTCTTTTCTGGGCCTTTTTTTAAACCTTATTAACTACAAAAAACTCATTAGTTTTAAGGTAAGTTCATTGGCTTGACAGGTTGTTAAATAGTAAAAGAGTTTATTAGAGTATAATAAATTTAATTAATTAATTCGTTTATTCAGCAATAATATTTATTGTCAATTAACTGACTTATACTATCATGGAGTAATAAATTTTGGGGTCCAAATAAATTAGCACATATGTGAAAATTACTTTAGGCCGAAAACTAGTGTGATAATTCGATTCTTGTCTCTCGATATTCAACACACTAATCTACCGGACCTACGGGCGGCTTAGTCGTTAGAGGAGTGTTAGATTTGGCGAGTGGTTTGGATATCCGTAGGTAAGTACTTCTTTTGTTATGTCTTGGATTTCTTCTGTACCGATTCTTTACTAATTCTATCCTCAATTACCACACTACCTCGGATAATTGGATCAACGAAACAGCCACAACTATCACACTACTTCGGATAGTTGGAAAAGAATAAACCACGGCTGATCCTGGTACGTTAGAATACAACAGCCGGACAGGGTTTCAATAATTCGGGGGTTATTTAATAACACGGGTTCAGTGGTTAGGGGTTTTAGCGAATTTATAGTTTTAGGTATTAGGAACTTATTTAATAAAGCAAAGGAGTCATTGTAACTTGTCTCAAAGGGCCAACACGGCCTTTATTTATAATATAATTCTTTATTTACATTCGGGAGACTATTTCGTTGAAAGTTATGGCTCAATATATGTAGTATATATATATAACTTATAGATATATAGGCCACATAATAAATTTAAAAAGCATCCCGACATTTGATAACAAATAATTGAAGGTTGATACAGTATGTACTGATAATATTTTTAAAATGTAGACATAATTAGTCAATCGATTTATTATAAATAATTAAAGTTGTTGCAACAGTAACGTAACTAGCCGCATGATGGCCGTATGCCGTAAAAAATTCATTGTGACGACTCTACTGTATCACTAGTAAGGTTTACGTTACAAAGACTGAATAATCAAAAATGGACGGGAGAACGCGTAAAGCTTCGATCAAAAAATGAAAGTATCAATAATTATAAGGCATTTTTTTGACACTTACGGCCATTTTCAGTCGGGATTCGGGCTTTTGTCAAAACCCAAATGCAATCCCAAATCCCAAATGCATATGCCCAAATCCCAAATGCATATGCCCAAATCCTGATAATGAAATTTTTGCTACGTATGATCGCTGATTAAAATAAATATAATGATGCTTTTAATTATATAACGATTATTTTAATAAATACTGATGCTTTTAAAAGTTTCTAATTAATATAACGATACTTTTAATTAATAATGTTCTTAAAAAATATAATGATGTATTTTGATTATTTATTAATTCTTGTTTGATTACTATTATTATAAATTTGTTTTTTGTTAATCTTAGCAGAAAACGAACTCGGTTTATGCTAACACAGTAATAAATAAATTGTGTTGTTTTTTTCAAAAAAGTTTAAAAATTTTAAAATATTAGAGATATTGTAAAAGAAGCTTTTAGAAGCTACAGAGTAACATATAATTAGCGTAGTGTATAAAAACATGTAATGCTGCAAATATTAAAAAAATATAAAAACATGTAAATGAATTCTGCAAATAATAAATATAAAAAATTGATGCTTTTTAATAATAGAAATTAACGCTTATTAATTTTAATAGTTATTCGTTATAAAAAATTAATTCCTATTACTGCAGTACTGTAATGTATTGTTATCATTATTATAGTTTAGGATTTTATTCTTCGGCTATTTGGGTTGCGGAAATAATGTCGTAAAAACTTGTTTGTCTATTAATACTGTGACACAACTATTTTACAACATAGAAAACGAAGTACGTATTGTATATCTTTATAATAAAATATATTAAAAAGATTTGAAAAACACCTACTCATTTCCCGGTCATTCGAAAATATCGTTCTTGATTCCATTATTTTTAATGGATCAAAAAAGATACTTGAAACAATGGGCCACGTGGCCGGGAAATGATAGGGGGTTTTTTTTCCCTGAATTGAAAAGATGACAACGGAGACAATTATAATTACACAATTTTAAATTTATTTGCCAAAGGATTTACCAAATATTTTTTTATTAAGATAATTTTGCCGATATTTTGCCGATTGTTTTTGCCAATTTTTTTTTTTTTTTTTTTTGCCGATTTTTTGCCGAATTTTTTGCCAATATATTTGCCATTTTTTTTTTTTTGCCTTAATTTTTTGTTTTGCCAATTTTTTCCTTAGAAAAATCTTAAGTGCATAATTTTCAGATTTTGCCATAATTTTTTTTTATAGAAAACTATATATGAAAAGATGGTATATGTAATTAAAATGAATTTTAACATGAAGATGCAATTTTGTATATGAGAATGTGATGTGGTAATTTACAGTGATGAAATTGTCCTTTTAAGAGTTCCTATATATATGAATCTATATTTCTTTCTTTTCAAAGAAAAAAAATAAGATCGTAAAAATTTAGAACACAAAAAAATAAAAGAACAAATATTGTCTATATTATTATTATCTTTACAAAATCCAAAATTATCCCTTATTATTCACTATTTCCAATACTATTATTATCGTTGTCATTGTTATTATTATTTCTACACTCCTCTTCCAACGGTTCTATCTCATGTTGATAAAAAGCCAAAACCACAGCTTGAGCCGCTGGACCGAGACCAAGATATTTTATGTTTTGGTGAACATCATAATAATTATCCACAGTTAAAGTATCATACCATTTGTCAGCATCACCATTGTATAAAAATTCTAACAACGGTTCAAAAGTTTCAGGAGATGGAATTGGGATAGTGATTATATCACCATTATTAACATCTTCAAATACTTCACGAAAGAATAATGATTGTAGGACTAAATATTCTTCGTGCACGTAGAAAATTTTGTCGAGGCCTTCTATGTGTAGTTCAGCGAATGCAGTTGATTTGTCACCAAAGTAACGAGGTCCAAGTTGATGTAACTTCTCAAGGATATAAGTTATAGGGATTCCATCAACCAATTGTTGGTGTTGTAAATCGTCGTACTTTCCACCAACGATAGCAGGTCGTTTTTGAATACGTTGTTCTACTTGATTTGAAAACATCTTTCTTGAATTAAAGTAAAGTCTAAAAGAAAATAAAGGTAGATGAATTTTTTGGTAAGATAAGAATTTTTGTATTTCGCAGTGTTTGAGGAATTTTTAATCGAGAGTTAGTTGAGAAATTATTGGAAAGCGGTGGTTTGAAAAGCAAAGGACGAACGGAGTTGCTTTTATGTGAATACGTTCAATATTAATCGTTTTCTGTCTCTTAATATTGTTTCCAAGAATAATTAAGAAAGAGAACCATTGGACAATCACAACTTTTGAATAACACAAACAATGTATCTATTTCAAGGAAAGATTGATTACTATTTATTGACAAGTTAGGAAAATTAAATACGTAAATATCTATACACAATATCTGATATACAGTATATGTGAAGCTGCACATACTCAATACAGATTTGACGTTATTATGTGCAGTACATAAGTACGTAGAGAATCGCATTGCAGCATTGTAACAATAATCATAGATTAAGCATCAAATTACCTCATTGTAAACCATTAAAGATATATAGTGAATAGAAAAAAACAAACATTTCTTTCTGTTTTCGGATACAATCTTATTTACGATACATTTAGTGATTTTCAGAGTCAAAGCGAATTTACTCTATGAATTAATTTTACATAGTTAAGGGTTTATCCCTACTAAAGTTAAAATATATAATAATATCAGATGTAAATTTGATTATACATAAAGTATTTTATGAATAGAATAATGGAATCATTTACAACCAATATTGTTCAAAAGCTGCAAAAAATTCAAGAATAGAATAATGGCGTCAATAAAAATTTAAACTATTGTATATATCTTATAATTATTGGTTCATATATAAATTTAATTTTTTTTTTTCACCTGGTTTTATCGGCAGTTATCGTAACTGTAACATCTGATAGATTGTTTAATTTTATTTGTTACGTCTCCACTTTATACTCCACAATGCGATAACAGAGACCTTCAAGCACTTACCTTTATCGAGTATTTAAACTTACCTTAAAATTCTTTTTCGTTTAAAATTGTTACAGTAGAACAATCAATTAAACATGGTATTACAAATTGATCACTTCCTTTTTCGTATATCTTGATATCATCTTATAACGATAACTGCTCTGCTATGATGTATAAAGTACAGTACGTACGTAATATCCAACGAAGAATTATTAACGAAGAAATTATTGTACTTGAAAAAAACTTTTCATATTGTCCTAATCACTTTATCAGTCTATACCATTTTCTAACTTGTCTTATGTCACTTGTATTCTTGTATTTACCATTTCGGCCGCTAAAATAATCTACCTAAAAATTCATATACCGGTAGTAAGCTAAACTTTCTCGTAACAATCTACATATTATTGTTTCTTTTATTACTACGTTAATACTAATTCCATTGTTTCGATTACCAGGATTTGTTTAAATGCTTTTCTCTACATTTCTCGTGCGTACACAAAATTAAACAAACTTACGTATCACAACAGCTTATAGCAATCTATTTTACTATGCTCTTATTTCCAAATTAAGTCATTATTATCGTTATTATCCCCTTGATTATTGTTTTCTGCCCTGATTGTATGCTCCACGTGCATCATGTCAATTATTGTCTGTAAATTAACTAATAAATTTTATAGTTTAATTAATTTAATACGTACATTAATAATATATGTGTGTGTTGTCAACTAAAAAATCATTCCGATTTGTAATATTGTTTTAAAATAATAATAATAAATTTTTAAAATTGATTTTAGAATTAATTCGGAGTAGTTGCAAATACTACTTTTAGAACACTGAGATTTCTTAAAGCTTTTTAACGACCATGTTTGTTAAAATCCGTGATTGCTATTATTATTTGAATAAAAATCTATTAATAAATATCTACGTATAATTTTGATGCATCGTAACTCTCTGTTAATCAATAGTAGAATCAATAGCAGATCATGTATTAATTTTGTGTCTTGTTTTTGAGTTATAAACAAAATAATTTGTATGTCTACCAAAAGCATTCAGCAGTTCCGCATAATAATCTGCATCATTTTATTAATGTACTCAGTAAATTTATATTACTAGATATTTTGACTACGTATAGCCTTTCAATTTTAATTAATTATTTTTTGTATTATTATAATATATATTTAATTAAGAATATACAGTATGCTACTTATTATTGTTATCTAGCAATTATGTTTTAATTATACTTTACAAACTAGTTAAATTAATTATTATTTGAAATCAAAACCAATACATAAAATTTTTATAATCTAAATTAGAATTAATATATTTATAACTATGGCTACTGTAGCTACATCTAATCAAATTTCAAGACACTACTCAAAGTGTAGGAGTAAGGTATCTTATTACCTAACATATATGAATAGAGCATATCAAATACATATAGAAAGAATACAAGCACACAATTTAAAGTATCAGAATACAAGTATAGCATATACAATATTATAGATCTTAGAATTAGACCTATTCTGTTAGCTATGCTATTTAGGAACTAACTATTACCAATTATATCATAACTTTTGAAATTGGTATAGACAAACATATTATGCTAAATCCTATTTTTAACAAATTATAACTACAGATATAGAATTAACTAATAGCTCTATCTATACCAAAGTCAGAGTAGTAGCACATGATATTATATTTAGTTGTTAATATAATATTCTTTTAGAAACCTCTAAAAATATTGTTAAACCTTTCTAATTAAATACACCTTATAATTTTAACTTCCTCTTAGCTTTAAAGCTACAGTCTTTGATCTTTATATTAAATTTCAAGCTAGTTCTACTACCCTTAATCCTTATTTAAATAAAACTTCAGCAAATATTTTAGAAAATCTTAGTTCTCCTATCTCTAATGAATACTCCAGTAGTTTTGACTACTTTGAACAAAGTCCTATAGCTAGTAGATCTCAAACCAAGTTATAACTCCTAAAACTCAATTCTTAATCTTTCTAATCTCTTATAATAAGAATACTATTCAAATTTAATTTTCTTCATTAGATAGACAATAAACTTCTACTCTATTTTTAACTAATATCTCTTTTGATCCTCCTATACATATATCTACTTTTTAGTTTCTCTCTACCTCTTCTACTAATACTTCAAACTAATAATATTTTAATCTTAATATTAATTCTTGAATAGCATTAATTAATTTTGTAAACTAGTTTATCTCTACTACTACTTTACCAAATAGAAACCTTTCTATCTCTAAAAACTACTCTTAAATTAACCTACCTTTTGATAATACTTTCTCTTCTCACTATACTCTCTAATCTTCTTCTTCTCTTTACTGAGCTATTCAACCTACTCAAAGTCTAAACAAATTTACTAATTAACTAAACAAATTCTTTAATAAAGTAATTCAAATCTTAAATGATTTAAAAATTAATAATAATCTCTAGAATAATTAGAATAATCTAGAAGAATATAACTTTAATAATTTCTTTAAAGTAATTAATAATAATCAAAAAATAGATAATCAAAAAGACTCAGACTTTAAATTTATTTATACTATTCAAGAAGATAAACTAGAAGATATAAATATAAATAACTAAGTATTATAAGATATAGCTACTGCTATAACTAATTTAGCTTGAGCTCTAGGTACTAGAAGTGAAAAAACTCTATTTAAAATTAATTCTTTTTGAAGTGATAGAACTCAAGATTCTATAATCTGATTAGATAATTTTGAATAAGTAGCTAAGGCTAACTGATGAAATACTACTTAACAACTTGAGCTTACATCTGTTTATATTACAGATAATGCCTAAGAATAACTCTAAAGCCTAGCTGATACTCTATTTATTTTAAATATACTAGGCATAGACAATGAGTTAATAGAGTTAATATTTATAGTTTTTACTATTTATTCAAAAAAAGATTCTATACTACTCAACAAAAAGCTACTTAGTGAAATAGTTCTTTATTATATAACAAGACTTAGATACAGTTGATACTTATATTAATAAATTTAAATAATTAAAAAAATGAGTTGATTCAGAAGGTAATTTCTCTGTTACTCTTCTAATTTAACTTTTTGTCTAAAGACTTCAACTAGAATATTCAGTAAATATCTAAGCCTTAGAACTAGCAGACCTAATAGCAGCAATAACTACAATATAATAATAAGAAACTAGTAAACTAATAGTCTCTAATATTAGTACTGGTCGAAAATGTGAAAATCAACCATGCCGAATATTAATAAAATTCGGCTTATATTCGTCTTAAAATCAGCTTCTGAATTTAAAAATCGATACTCAAAAATAAACATCAACTCAAAATCAGCAACTAAAATAAAA